GATATTTTCTTATGTTTCCATTTTTTAGTGGGGGAGATGAAAGACCTCTCCATTCATTGGGGACAGATGTTTTGAAATACAATTGTTTTGAGTTAAGAGTGTGGTCAACTCATATATCAAGGCACCGCTGTATTGGCTCTGCTGTCAGAAAACAAAATTCTTTCTCAACAACGTGACACAGCTGTTAGTCTCTTCTGTGTACTGTTATCGCCCTAAGCTACAAGCTTTTTTTCCCTCTCTGAGTAGACAAATAAAATGAAAAGAAGGGAAAAAAACAGAGTTCGAAGAAGAGATTCCACAGGATGTGCATTTTGCCACTGACTGATTGTGGTTGTCTGAAATTTCATTGTGGAGGGTTTGGAGGGGTCGCAGGCCACAGGGACCCCGACGTCCCCGAGCAGAATTGTGTTTGATAGGAAGTCAGTGAAAGGAGAGCTGTATTGGTCAGCGCTTTCATGACCTCAAGGTCACAAATCTCAGTGGTGCATTGTTATTGCAAGCAAACATCGACGGTGGATTGTGTCATCTGTGTTCATCTTTGTGACGCAGTGAACAAACGTCTACTTTTTGTATTTGTAATGCTCGGCTAGTTGTGATGCAGATTAGCTCTTTAACACATGCGTTTATCTTATTGCTAACAAATAATTCAAAACATTATAGACGGGGTAAGGAATAATTTCGGGCTGGGCTCGACTACAAATACGAAATCAGATAATAATTGACATCGGCAATATTTATCACTGGAAAAAGAAACGTGAATATGTTGGGGGGAACGATTTCCTAAAAAAAAAAAAAAAAGAAATTGCGAAAGCCAATTTTGGGGGTGACTGTATATTCTTTATGCTCTGCGAAAACGAGTCTGTTCTGAAGCTCTGCATCTTTCCGTCTATGTCAGTGGTTCTTAACCTGGGTTCGATCGAACCCTAGGGGTTTTTGAATCGGTCTCAGGTGTTCGACGCAGCCTCTGCCATGGAGGTTAAGACACACCGGACTTAACATGTCAATTAGTTACGACATGCCCGTTTGGCCATCACTGGCTGCAGATGATCACATGACATTGCTTGTCCAATCAGTGCTGTGGGAAATTTAGTACATTTCGTAGCAACATGCGACCGTCGTGAGAGTACGTCGTACAATTAAAAAAAAAAAAAGTGATGTCATCACACTTGCCAACAAGGGATGTAGCCGAAAGTGAAAGTAGGGCTGTCGCAGCGAATGATTATTTTAAAAACGGATTAATCTGTTCATTATTGTTTCGATTAATCTATGAAGTGGATAAAACACATGCTTTAACCCATTTAATCCCAAATTTTTCCCAGACATTTAAACGTCAAAATCAGGTGTCATTGGTAGCCCTTTTAAGTAATCAGTAATAAAAAAATTTTAGAGCCCAGTAAATTAAATCATTGTCATCTGTCACAAATGTGACCGGTGGGATTAAATGGGTAAATTTTCCATCCCTTGATTGCAAACCAGGACAATATTTCATATTGACAGTGCAGAAAACACACAACTTCATTAGGATTCAGTACTGGTTTGGTTTATACCAGGTCGGAAAATAGGGAAGAATGTTGATTGTTTTAAAAGCAGTCAAAGCAGATGTTTGCAAATGATTTATTTTGAATCAATCTTGGAAAAGCCATACTTCAATTTCAAGTCACTTTTATCTCAAGTTACAGCTGTATTTGTTGGCCACCAAATGAACATTTTGTGCATAGTCCATCGATATTGTGGCTACAATTATTGAATTTATTTTGTCATGTCTGCACTGCGTCCGCCTCCGGATGGCATCTCGGTGTAGTGATTTTGAATTGACAGATGAGCGTGCGGCAATGTCAGGGTGTGTGTCAACGACGGCACGAGTCCGTTTTTGGGCCGCCCTGACAGGCTGCGGCTCATTAAAGTGCCATCCGACGCATGAGGTCAAGACAACAGCGAGTGCTCATGTGACTCAGTGCGTGTAACGTCGGCACAAGACACGCGCGATGGGCGGCAGAGTACGCTCAACAGGATTGGAATAATACCCAGCACCAATCAGTGGTTTTATTTTTAGCGTATGCATCATTACAGACGACTGCACGGATGTTTGGAGAACTCTTCAGATCAACCCCCGGATTGAGCCGCACTTGATGGAATCTGAATAAAGATTCAAACATGGGTGTGATTAAGATTCTTGAAGTTTATTTTGCGTTTAATGAAAATTAACCACTTAAAATCAGACATTGCTTTTGAATTTCATTTGACCAAGGTTCCAGTGTACATGGTTGCAAATCCTTTGCCGTCACATCCTGCCTGAAATGTGCAATCGTTGACACATCACCAGATGCTGGACGTCATCTCTGGTGTTTGCAACCTTTCTTCAGTTCCTGCTTGTTGTTGCTTGGGGCAATTTCCCTTCAGTTTTGTGAGTTCAGTTTTATTGGGCGCCAGGGCTCAGTGGTAAATTGGTCATTTCCCAACCCAGAGGTTGGTAGTTGGATCCCTGAGCAAGATACCAAACCTCAGTTGCTCCTGATGCTGCGTCATCAGTGAATGAGGTAACAGTGTAAAGTGCTTTGGGTACCTGAGGTAGAAAAGCGCGATAAACTGTAAGTGAGTCGATTTACGAGTTCAGAATCAGATTCCGATCAGGTGATTGACTTGCCTATGACAAACATCCCACTTCCTTGCCCTCAAAAACTATTTCACAACTTCGGGTCATTGTCCATCTGCACTGTGAAATGCCCTTCATTGAATTCTGAAGCATTTGGCTAAAGATGAGCAGATTGTGACCAAAAAATATTTGGGGGGGGGGGTTGCAAACTCCCCATCTAACTTTTGTGTGCAATACATTTTAAACCATTAATCATTCAAGTTCAGTTTTGTATTTTCCTCTCATCAATTGAAGTGTTTAAGTTCAAGCGGTGCAGAATGGTACAGTAGCTTAAAATAATAATAATCAAAATATTTTTAGGAATAAAATCTACCTCGTGTTTGCCAAATACTCAGGCCTATTACTCTACTGTATTTTAATGTTGATCATGATATTTTTAGGTCGTACTTGGTGTAAAAGGTTTGCCAAGTTCTGGCCAAGTGTGAGTACGTCCACAAAATCAGCTTGTGTGCCGTCTGCTTTTTGGGTGACCAGCTCTATTTGCCAATTGGACTCATGTTGCGTTGGCCAAGGTCAAACAGTCGCTTCCTGCGCCAAGCCCAGGCTGAGTGGCGCCTCCCCATCTTCCTGTGACCTTTGCACTTGTCTTTTTCCTCTCCTCTCGTGTTACTCCTGCCAGAGCCCATCCCTCTGTCCTTCTCACCCTTCCTTCTCATTTTCATCTCTTCCTCCAACCCCCAACAGCCAATTCTGTCACTCCTGCCCATCAAGAAGAAATGATAAGACATACGGTGTTCTTCTCTTGCTGTCTAATGGCACTTCGTTCAGCCTTCAGGGTGCCGCCGCTCAGGCTTATCTGGCCCTAAAGCGCTGCCCTTGTTATCCCTCTCATAGGCGAGGGTCATCGTCGTCTCGCATTCGCCTAAGAGGATTGGAATGTGGGGATTAAGTGATGCATAATGGCTAATCTCCTGGCTAAAACAGAGGTGCTGTTGTATGAATAAGTGTAGCAAAGTTTATTTGAATGTGAATGTATTGCTACCTTGTTTGAAACATAACAATAAACTTCATCAGGGGGATTGGAGTCAACGGGCGCAGATGTTTTGGACGCCACTATGCCTTTGTTCCCGTGTCAAAAAACAGTTGTTTGTGCTCTACCTTGTCCAGACTCTCAGTGCACGACGAGCACGCAGCATTAAAAGTGGGCGAAAAACTTCTCTTTGATTGGCCATGATTGAGGTCGGCTGTTACCACACCCTCAGTGGCGCAGCCCCCCTCTTGCAGATCCACCAGCCAGTGCTTGTCTGCAATATTACCAAATTCGGGTCTAACCTGCTTCTGACTTACACCACGCGCTATGCAGGATTTACAACGGTCATGAAAATAGAGCCACTAGTGTAAATTTGGTGGCTAAAAAGATTGGGAAAATAATCTTTAGGTGAGGTTTTTCTGGGATAACCAAAGAATGTGGATTTTTCTTTTTTTTTTGTGCAGAGTTGCTGGTAAAATAATTTGAATTGATACGGGATGCTCATTTTCCCACCTGCTCTGTTCAACTAACTCACTCCTGCTTCCAGATTGATACCGAGTTGCCAAATTCATCCCATTTTTCCTTGGAGAACACTTCCAAACCGTCCCTTTGGTCATTCCATGATTTATTGATTTATCATATTTTCCCATGTGTCAAGGTTACGCAGGAATATCGTCTGCTTTACAACAAAGCTTTTACATCACCGTCACCTCAATGAAATCTGCCTAGCAGCGTCCTCTGAGTTGTTTTTTTTTTCTCCTCACCTTTGTGATGGGGGAAAACAAGAAAAACATGCTTTACAACAACAATAGAATCTTGCAATGTGGTGTAGACCTTTGCATTCAGCTTTTTCCCATGTGAGCATATGTTTACATAACAACACAACGGATCTGGAGCGAGCATGAAAGGACGTTTTGGTGTTACGAACAGCCATTCTTTGTGCTGCCGTGTGTTTGTGTTCAAACATACAGACGCAGTTCCCACATTCCATGTTGTCATGGATGGAGAAACAAATAGAGCCTCCGGAGCTGTTTGTTGTATGATTTTTAATTTCTTCACTCCATATTTTATTCATAAAAACTATGCATATTTTACAAATAAAATTAAATCCCATATCAGGATGTTATGAGAAGAATTAAAACTTCAAAGATAGCATAAAGATAGCATTTTATATTGATATATACATATATGATATGTGTTGAAAATGGATGGCTGGGGAGATATATATAAAATTCAAAGGCTGTTTTGGAATAATACATTTTCCACTGAATAAAGTTTAAGGAATCTTTTGGAATTGACAGTCTCCTTGGTAGATTTCTGATGCAATTTACAATTTTTGACATGACACCTTGAAGTTCCGTTTCCTCTTCCTTGCAGCTCATTTGCCATGTCTAAGACCTCCATGAGGAAGCTGCACTGGCGTTCCAGGATGCAGGATACCTTCGTCCCCTTGATCGACTCGTCGGGGGAGCTCGGCGTGGCTGTCGGAGGAGGGGCCGATTACGGAGAGTTTCCTTTTGTCACGGCCGCCCCGGGGGATGGAATCAATGTGGGCGACATCATCCTAGAGATTGGTGGAACGCCTGTACTGGGCATGACGCTTGGCGATGTACGTGGGGTCCTCAACTCCTGCCCCCATCCTGTCCGCATCAAAACCGTGTCACCAGGTACGACTGGGCAAACAGTTTGTTTTCAGTGAGCTAACGTACAATCAATCTTTTCACCATGACCTCACAAGTACTTCCGGGTGGCAGCAGCCACTTGTAAACGAATGCTTCCATGTCATTTGACCTCGGCAGAGTGATTGAGAAAACAGAGTCAACTGCTTTTGATGATTTCAGCCGCCTTCTTTGCACCGCAGTAATGTGAATGTGTAAAGTGGGGTAAATTGTTTAAGCGGCCTGTAATTTAAATTTTACTGAGTAAATTGGTACAAAATTACCTTGTAGATGTCTTGAAAATTCAGAATTACTCAGAACGTTAACATGATTGTTGAGGAGCTGGCTAAATAAGTGACCTTTCCGTTGTTTGGATTAATGGCACAGATGTAACTTTTTAATGGTGAAATAGATGGTGCACTGATGATATGTAGCTAGCAGGCTAGCCATTATGTTTGACTAAATCACTCTAAGACAACCCTATTGAACATTTTATAGACACCTCTTCAGGGGCGGTTTTAGACAGTTTTACTTTGGGTGGCAAGGGGGCGTCAGGAGATTCAGCTGGGAAGGTTATAACCGCCCAATCCCTTACACACACACACACACACACACACACACACACACACACACACACACACGCACATGCACGACGCATGCACAGATTTCTAATTCACGGCAATGACGTGACATTATCTTTAGTCGACATCTCCGTGAAATAAGAAGACCAAAATGTGTTGCCTCATTCCCCCAAAATATTCTTTCCCCCCCCAGCCTTGCTTTCTACCAATCTGTCATGAGCCATATTTACTTCCGTAAAAACTGTGCGATGTGATAATTGTTTTTTTTTTTTTTTTTGCATATCACCCGACATCGTGCATGCATGTCACATCATGGACTTATTTCATTCACATTAGAAGTCACGTTTGTTTTTGTAATGTTAATCAGTCCAACATAAAATGAACGGATTTAACAAAACACCCGAATTGAGCACCACGCCCGAAAGTGTGAACGTAGCCTTGCACAAGCCTTCGAACAGCTTTCCGACATACAATGGTAGTCCGTACCCCTCAAACACTCATCTATTGACCCCGATGCCAATCAGTTTCCAGTCGACAGTCATCCGCACACCCACCCTCTCGTTGACAACCGCTTTCCAACAAGCATCGGTAACTGAGTTGGGCCTCGTGAGGGTTGCGGATGAGCAGGAACCTATCCCAGCTGTCTTTGGGCAAGAGGCAAGGTACACACTCGACCGATCACAAGCCACAAGCAAAATGATGGGCAAATCCCCCACCTCAAAAAATGGAGAAAAGATGGACAAAAATGACTGATGATGGCACAAGTTTTCACTGTCTCTGTGCTTTATTGACTTCCTGCTTTGACTGTTGTGCTCTATTGCCCTTGTTTCATCAGACTGCACCCAAACAATCCGTCACTCCGGTGTCCAACCCGTCATCCATCATAATGTTGCTCTACACCACTGCAACTCCTTCTCCTCCCCCTCACAGGCCAAATCCGCCGTCTGTAGCATGACGATGTTGATCCGCACTCATCAATTAGCGTGGCTGTGTCAAGGCGATCGGCGGTCAGCGTGCACAGACGAGGTCACGACTGACTACCCCGTGACAGGGGTGATGTGCCATATAGTTGTCCGTCATTTGGGAAGGGTCCTTGACGATAACAACACGGGGCACGGCTAACGGATGCCGCGGTCGCTTCGAAGCGGAATAATATGTCAGCGGAGTGTCACCTGACCGCAGCTCCCCCGCGGCCTTGCCGCCTTGATTGATAGCTGATTTGGCCACGGGCGCATTCATGATCATTTCGGAAGCCTGCTCGTCCAGCCGCTGCCAGAGGAACTGCGTGTTGCATTGACAGTGATGGATGAGGTGCCTCCTTCCTCAAACTATCAGGTCAATTTACTCAGCTCAAGTCTGGAAGTAGTGGGCACCGTTATGAGTTTTACCAACTTACATTTGAACTCGACAACTCAATTCAAATTTATTTCGAGGACACTTTAACAGCAATCACAACTGTAGCAAAATGGACATAAAACAAAAACGACAATAATTCAAATAATAGTACAGTGTTCCCTCACTTATCGCAGTGATGAGTGAAAAACCGCGATGCAGCGTTGGCTCCCCCCTGCTCGGAATTTTCGTGTAAGTGTATGTGGGTACCAGCATGTTTAAAATATGTAAAGAGCATTTATACTTTACATATTTGAGACAAAGACTACAGCAGTACACGTATTTACTTAAATCTATAATTATAAAACCTTAGACAGTAATTAAGATTCATCAGCATTGCCTTCTGAGAGAGACAAAGAGACTTGTGTTACTCTCACTTTACGCCGCCACTCTGACTCTGTAGCTGCTGTTAACCTCCAGCCTCCAGCTAGCTGCTGGCCAGCTATCCCCGCACAGCCAGTGTGTTTATGATAAGACAATTAACGGTATTGATGAAGAGGAGGCGAAGAGAGGCCTGCTGGTTTTTTCAATACCATTATTTTCAAGTACTCAGTCCTTGCCATGGGAGCCAATAAAGATGGCGCTGATACCAATGGCTGACAAGTGTTTTTTAGAGAGAGAACTATTTATGTTCATGAGGTTTATATTTTGGCTTAGAATGCATTGTGTTTTCCCCAAAATGTATCAGTTTGTTTTTTTTAACTGAATTTCTGCATGGCTGAGAGAGCGCTCGCCTCTTCTGAATTCCATCCACATCCTCTCCTATACCCATTATGCCAGTTTTATGAGTTTAAGTTAGTTTGTAAGGCAAGGCAAGGAAAGTTTATTTGCATCGCACATTTCATACGTGAGACAATTCATCGCACTTTCCATAAAACATTATAGGTATAATCGAATGGGGAACAAAATATTAAGACATTGCAAAAATCATCATAAAATCTCAAATAATTACATTAAAAAGATTAAAACTAGCATCATTCTAGATAAATGAAAAGATTGCGTGCAAGTGGGGATTAAAACAAGAAAATAAAGGATGGAGAGAGTGCTGCAGTAAACAATGTTTTCAGCCCGGATTTAAATGAATTGACAGGCCTCAGGTATTTGGCGCATAGTAACGAATAAGATTATCAGGTTTTTATTCATGCAAAGAGAGCATTAATAGCGTGTTGCGACCAACATATACTGTATGTTTATGAACTTAATTTGGGCATGGCAGAAAGGGGCTCTTCTCTTTTCAATTCCATCCAGGTCGATCCGCACATATTCCCAATTGGATGTCATTTCTATAAGTAGACGTATGGTTATAGGGTTTATATTCATGCTGCTTAGAGTGCATTATTAGTGCACCATTAGTGTGTTCCTCCCAAAATGAATTCACTAAATTCCTGCATGGCTGACAGAGCGTTTTTCATTTTGAATTGCGTCCACGTTCATCCTCTCATATGCCCATTGTCATTTTTATGATTTTGTGTATGTTCATAAGGTTTATCTTAATGCTTAGAGGACATTATAAGTGTTTTGTTGTCAATGTAATTCATTTATTTTCTAACTCACGTTGGGCGGTACGATGACTTTCTCCATTACGGTGTTTGGTGCATGTCATTTTTTGTTACACATTTGCCTGCTTTCATTGATTGAGAAAAATATAATAATTACTATTATATTATTATTTTTTCAATGTATTAACAAGGTCTGTTTTTCCTGATGAGTGCAGTACAGCCATCATAGAGCATTTAATTACCACTGTATATGTTCTCTACATTTGCCAACTTCTAAGTGTCAAGCTTGACAGTTAACAGCTAAAACTGTAATTATTTCACACTCCAATTTATTTTGAACAAGGACTAAAACTTGTAAGTTGTCAGATTTATTTTGTACTTTTGTCCTCTTCCATTTAGTCGTCTTTCTTGCCTAACTTTACTTCCTTCAATTGCCGGTTCTCGTCTTTCTCCATACCTCCTCCGGGATGCATTCCGCGCCGGGTGGATGTTGGGGGGCCGGCTCCGTTCTGAGGCTAAGCTCCTTGCGGTTGCAGCATCGTAGACAAACGGTGAAGCCAAATTGCGCCGATGTTCTTTGCTCAAGAACATACCTCGGCCAAAAGGCTGCAGTAGTGCAAAGGGCCCAGCGTGACAAGGGAGTCAGGAACGGATCTGCTGTAAACAGGCTGCCGATGAAGGGGCACAGTGACAAGCGCTGCCAAAGAATGTCATGGCCAATGGGGCTGAAAACAATCCCAAATGAGTCAAGTTTCTAATGTGTTTTAGGTTCCTGAAGTTTCACCCAAAAGCCGACTATCCCTGATGTTTTTGTGAGTAGCATCCAACAACAAGTTCCTTATCATGGCAGCATAAAAACCAAATCAAAACTAGAGCTCTCTCATTCAGAGCAATGGTTCAGCATGCGATTTAACATCCTCAGCTTGCCTCCCTCGGCCCCATTAATCCAGATAAATATGCTTACGGTAATCAAGCAGAGCAGTTAATAGCGAAACACCCGCCACTACGTTTTTGCTTGAGGTCGTTTCTCAAGATGAGGAACGCAGAGTACGGTCTCGTGAACACGCAAAGTACACGTTTACGAAGAACGTACGTGTCAATGTTCTACTAAGAAGGCGAGTCTCATTATAAATTGGAATGGCCGTATACTTGTGAACTTCCCCTAGAACTCTGATATGTTTCTGTGATAGCAGCAGAAAATGCATTTTGAGATATTTTCTGAGCCAAGCCTTTACAAAAACCACCCGATGCACCCTTGGTTTAAGCTAGCTGACAAAAACAACATCCGGGTAAACCATCCGCTCTTGTTTTATTCGTACTTTCAACTGGAACAGTACTTGGGCTGCGACTGATGACCTTTCACAAGGGCTTAAGAATGGACAAGCATGCAATTGAGAAACTGCCTTAGTAAATCAAACGTATTCGTGGGAAATATAAAAAGGTGCGCTGTAATTAAAAAAAGAAAAGTAGGAGCTGGGGCAGTAAAATTTAAAACAAATGATGTTCAGCTTCATTAGGTGCTGACTGTGCTGAAGGTTATTTTGGGGTAATAACTGATTTACAGCAGTAATGACCTGAGTGTGTAGCAGATCTTTTATAGCTCGTATAAGTGCCATCCTTTAATGATATACTTGTCTTAATAAACATTTCATTACTTAAATAATGGCTACAATGGTTGACTGCAAAATGCATGTTTTCGAGTATGTTTTCAGGGATAGACCGAAGAAAACTTGATTTGCTGTCGAAATCTTAAGGGAGCTATTTATTTTTTGAAGTTTTCATTGAAGGCGGCATCGTGATCGGGTGGGTTACCACGCCCGCCTCACAGTGCAGAGGTGCACGGTTCGATACCTGTGTGGGTTTTCTCCGCGTACTGTGGTTTCCTCCCACATTCCAAAAACATTCATGGCAGGCTGATTGAACACTCTAAATTGTTCCGAGGTGTGAGTGTGAGCGCGGATGGCAACCAGTTCAGGGTGTCCCCCGCCTACTGTCCGAAGACAGCTGGGATAGGCTCCAGCACGCCCCGCGACCCTTGTGATGATAAGCAGATTAGAAAATGGATGGTTGGATATCTATCGATCTATCTACACGTGTCAAGGTTGTTCTTTTGTCCTTAGCCAAGCCCAGGATTCAGCCCGCACCCCCGCTACTGAAAGCCCTGGTGGGACAAACAGTCACGCTCCCATGTGTGGTCCAGGGGGAGCCGAGCCCAGAGGTCAATTGGTTTCACAATGGTCTTCCTGTTGGGATCAAGGACACGTCACCCTTTAGGATCCAGCACGTCAGCATGGCTGACAAAGGAACTTACCAATGCGTGGCTCGCAACAGCGCTGGACAGGAGACTTTGGAGATCATGCTGGAAATTCTTGGTGAATTCCTGTTCCTTAATACCAGCCTTTTACAGCTCAAGTAAAAAAACAAACAAAAAAACACTCGACTTTTCTTTAAAGTTTGGATTCAGTGTCTACCACATACTACTAATCATAACATAGGGTCAACTAATCCTACTATGTCCATGTTTCTATATGTCCATGTTTCTATCTATCTATCTATCTATCTATCTATCTATCTATCTATCTATCTATCTATCTATCTATCTATCTATCTATCTATCTATCTATATACATACACACACACACGCACACATGCGCTCACATACTGTACATGCAGATGACTTCCTCAACTTGGAAGCATATAGCACTCTGACATTTCTTTTTATAGCCCAGTGAATTCCGTCTGCCACCACCAAAAGCAGACGGCAAGACGCAGCGGCAGCCTGCAGGGCAAGCGTCGTCTGTCAGTGTGACTGACAGGCTCGGAGATGCGCTCAGTCCATCAATAAGGCCAAGCAGCCTGTCAACAGAGCATGTAAAGCGCTTGAGATGATAGAAAGTGATCAGAGAGATGAATTGCAGGCGTAGGTGATTGGCTCTACCTCCCCCGGTGAAAGCCTCAGTTGTGAAGTCTGCGGCAATTAACTTCAGGAGATTGTTTGGTATGCATGAGGGAGCAAGGAAAACGCATGCGATTCTCAGGTGCAATGCGAGGTGGTAGAGAGCGAGATGGCTGTGTGCGAATACACCAGTCAAGGCACTAAAATGCTAAATTAAGCCGAGCGCCGTTAAAAGTGTTGCGGCAGCGCACACCAATTTACTCCTGATTGGTCGTCTTCTTAGCCAAATACACATCTCATCACTCTGGTTGTGATTTTTTTTCGATGTGTGTGCTACCTCCTCTCTTTTTCTTGACACCCTGCTTGTTTTCTTTGCCCTTCCCTCAGGCGCCACGTTGTGCAAGGATCTCAGGTTGTATCTGAGTAAGTGCTTCACACCCGGCTCGGTGGACAGTACACTTCAGCAGGTCATCCGAGAGAACCTTTTCCTCCGAGCTGTACCTTGTAAGTCCACCTTGATGCTCTTCATCTTGCCTTCAATCTATGCGTGGCTCTATATGCAGCACCTTTTATTTCCAGGCCCTATTACCACCCGACTGTACATAAAAAGTCTTCTACACTGAATCGGTGACATTTGCTTCTTGTAATTCTTCCAAAAATAAAAATACATTTCAAATGTTTCAAATCAACTCTAAATCTGACAATACACACAGAGTTTTGAACTACTCAAATTATGTATTGTCCCATTTCAGTTAACTGACATTTTTTTAAAGTCTTTGTTCCATTGTGCTGAAACTGGTCATGTGAGTGGACTGAAAGTCACAAGATTGAGTCTTTAGTCTAGATTTTGTCAAAACATTGTAGTCACGTGACAATTAAACTAAAAGCATGATGACACCAAACAAATTAGAGTGATTAAAAAAAAAAATTAATGAACATACAGTATAACATCAAAAACAATTTTGGTAACAGGACTGTGCTGAGATTTTAACCACCCCAGTTGAAATATCAACTACACAGAAAAATAAACGAGTGAACTTACAAAAAAATACAAAATAATCTCTTCATGAAATAGTTTTACTCTTTTATTAACTTATATGGTGCTTGTAAAACCTAAAGTTTCATGTCGCATGATGTTAATCAAGCGCTAGCTAGCGTAAGCTCAACTTTTATGCCATCAAAACAATGGGCTTCCATAACTTGTGCTAATTTAGCTAATGGTAACTGAAAAAAAATCACCTAACCTCTTTTAGTGGGTTTTTTTTGAACAGTAAGCAATTTTGTCATTCCTGATGCCTCTCTCTCAAGTTACTGTATGTCTTTTTTATGTCATGTCGTCTTCTGCAGAAGTTAATAAAGTAAAAAGACTAACATAACAATTACAAAAAATATAAATAGGCAATAGTAAAAGCCAAACAGTGACAGTGTCGAGAAAAGAGTCTGCAGCAGGTTCAGCTCCTGGCGAAGACTCAAGATGGTCTCCTTGCGTCCCTCTTCTTTCCTGTCTCCTTTGCTGCCATCCGGTGTGTCACATCTGCTCACATTTGTTGCTCTTTGTTTCTGCAAACGATACATCTTGTTCAAAGACAGATGCCCCCCCCCCCCACTGTTTTTAATAAAACCCTTGACTGTGCCTGCCTCGTACGAATCAGTCAATCAATCAACTAATCAATGTTCTCCGAATGCCTCTGTAACTAAATACAGTAAACAAATTAAGCATTAATGAAATAAAATAAGAAGAAAAAAAAGATACTCCTACAATGCTTATAAGAGCTAGCTTGTTCAAATCAATTAGACATGTCACAACCACAGCAGTAGAGCGATGTCAAAGAGTATGGTCATTTGGAACATTTTCGTGGCAACTTTTGTTTTTTTGCACTGGTTTATTCTCAGAGGCTGTCTCCCCATTTCAGTCATCACCCATTGCTCCAGGCTACTTTTTTTTTCCTTCTTCTTTTTGTGAAGTGGCTGTAAAGCTGTGTATGAACTGTCTTTGTGTAAGCCCCTTGGGAAAGCGGTTGCACAGGCAATGTAATTTGGATGCTCATAAATGAAATCATGTACAAAGTACAATGGCAGCCAAAGGCGGCTAGTTGTACTACATCTGTTGCAATCCTAATCTCCTCTAATGTATGACATCACTGGGAACGGCCGGGGGGGATATAACAGATGACTTGGTTCTCCCCCCGCCCCATTTTGTCTCCCTCCCTTTTAGCACGTCCGCTTCTATTTTTCTCCCAGTTAGGTGGACAAGATAGACCACCTCGTGTGCCAGAAGTCTTAACCTTTCTATGGAAGCACAGAGCGTCTTCTAATCCTCCCAGTGAGGACAGCAAGTGGGTCATGTGACGCAGTAAGCAGCCGATCATCTCCCCTAACGTACAACAAGCTCTCCCACTACTCGTTTGCGCACACCCGCTTGGCAATGTGGTGACAATGTTGCCATATACTATACCAGAATGGCGCCCCGGCTGACCCTGCCTCGCCTCCAAACACTTTCCTTTACATGTAGTGACAACCAGGCTGGTTGAGCCCCCCCAAGTAGTGCGTAGGCCTAATCCTCTGATCTGTTGACATGACGCTGTAAGATTCTGTTGTTGTCATGCTGATACCACGCATGCACGCACGCTCTCCTGATCCCGGGACAGCTTGGGAACTGTCACAAGTGCTCATAGAGAAGTCACATTTCCTTGGATTCTCTTTGAGGATGAGGCTGCTGGGCTTGATGTAGCAGGAGAGGATTCATCACTGGCTCACTGTGGCCCTCTTCAGGACCTTTTGTACTGTATGTTGCTCCTCTTTCAGTCTTTTAGTTTTATTTACACTCTCGAAGGGCAGAATGGTAGATGAGGGGGTAGTCGGACTGCAAAATTACGGGAATTATCTGAATTGTCACTTTTTTATTGCAATTACAGGAGCGGGAATTTAAAAAAATGAAGATTGGCTTTTAATAGAGAACTTAACTTTATTTGGAGAAGATATATTTTAGCGTAATTCAAACATAAAAATTTCATGCAAGTAACATTTTACCTTGACATACAGTACAAGTGCCCCACTGTTTGCCGAGTCACCTGGTTGAATTTCATTTTATTTCATTTATTTTTTTGTTCTGATCCAAAATTTAACTGGAAGTGAGGTACTCACATTACCTCATTACCATGCACGTTTATATCCCTCAATTGGAAGCCCACGGAAGCCTATTTCTGGCCACACCAGAAAAAAAAAAGTTCAGGATCAGGTTATTACATAATGCATTTCATGTTTTATCATGAGACCCATCCATCCATTTTCCGATCCACTTTATCCTCACAAGGGTCGCAGGAGGAGCTGAAGCCTATCCCAGCCGTCTTCAGGCAGTAGGCGGGGGACACCCTGAACCTGTTGCCAACCAATCACAGGGCACACAGAGACGAACAACCATCCATGCTCACACTCACACCGAGGGACAATTTAGAGTGTTGCATATTTTTGGAATGTGGGAGGAAAACCGGAGTACCCGGAGAAAACCCACGCAGGCACGGGGAGAACTTGCAAAGTCCACACAGGAAGGCCGGAGCCCTTTATCATGATAATTTTATGTACCGTAATAGATTATCAAGTTCAAATGTAGTTATATAATAGTTACATAGGTGGTAAATTTGATTTGTAAGGCACAAACATGATTTCGCTAGTGACATGGACCGTCAGGAATTGTTTCATTTTGTTTTTAAGAATGCAGAAGTCAAACGTTTCACATCATATCAGAAAACTTTTCACATTGAAAAGTGAAATTTATCAACGTAAAACGAGAAATTTATCCCGTTATAAAGGCGACCCGTACATGCATGGATTGTCTCCGAGAACTCAGTTTCTTCCCACATTCCAAACACATGCACCAAGGTTTGTTTAAGACGCTAAACTGTTTTTAGCGGCCTGTGAAAAATACTAAAACAACATTTGACATGGCCATGTTAGAAGTGTGGCTGTTGTAAAACCGGGGGACGCGAATGATGGGGACTGCCGCTACTACTATCAATAACTTGCAGTGACAGAAGTAAAATGACACTTTAAATATTAATAGAATTTCTGTGGAGAATAATGATCATACAGTTTCCTCCACTTTATGCTTCGTGTCAAGGTCCAATTTGTGACCATATCACATGAATGATCCTGAAGTATTGTCACGCTTTTGGTTTGGTTCCGATTGAGGAGATGGGATTCAGCTAAGGAATAGGAAGAATACGTTTGGACACCCTTGCTCCAAATAGTCCATCGTTGTGAATGTGAGTGTCAATGGTTGTTTGTTTGCACAGTATGTGTTCACTGCCAGCTCACCCATGACATTAATGAGCACTCTCGAATGTGAATGGACGGCCGACATGTTCACTCAACCCCGTGAGCCTCACAAGTGACTGGATAAAGGAAAGAAAAGGCTTGAGTAATTATACAGTCCTTCAGAGTATTTGATCCTGTTTGTTTTTCCTGAAGGTGTGCTTTTTGTACCTGTCTGCTATTTTAAGAGCATCTCCTTCCCTGAAGGCTTGTCATGAGACAGCGTGCTTTGATCCAGAAAATAGAATTACAAAGGCTCTGTGGATAAAAATGGAAATGAATGACAGAATCAAGCGAATACATTTACGCTACAAATAAACTCTTGGGGAAATAGGCCTCGGAAAAGCGACTGTTGTGAAATGACGTTGTTGAAGGAAAATGTACACTGGTGCCTTGAGATGCAAGTTAACTTTGCCCTCTGACTCAAATTATCTTTCCCTATTGAAACGAATGGAAATGCCATTAATCCGTTCCGGCCTTCCACAAAAAATAAAATAAAAAATTAACCCTTTCAGGTACAGTGGACGGCCTACCATGTTATCAAGTTGCAGGTTATCATTATTGGTGCATGAAAGGGTTAATAAAGAATCATGCACACAATATTATGTTGTAAAAGCAATAACAATGACAATTCAGGAGAATATAAAGGATCAAACAGCTTGTACATGATTTAATGCTAAAATTCAATTCATTGTGCTGCTCCTCTTCTGGTGTGCCTGCCTTGGTCAACCAGATACAGTGTAATATAGTCATACAGACCCAAATGATGAAAGTGACTCAGCACGCTGCAATCAGACGAGCCGCCTTTCGCAGAGGAAATATAGCATATGCCTGTGAGTATATGTTGCTCCATCATCTGTCTTCAAATATCCATTGCTTAAAGCAATGGTCTGCAGCCTTTTTTTCTGCAGCCTATTTTCCGGCATGGACCGATCCATACAAGTACATGATTTTCGCGTACCGGCATACATTCGCCGATGGGCGGGGGTGGTACACATGCACTTCGGAAGATAATCGCCAATGGGGGTGGGGCCTGGTGTAAGGATTTGCTGACGTATATTCTCTTGTTGGCGGATAATTGCAGAGTGGGAGGAGCTGACGTATATCCACCTTCCGAAGGTAATTGCCGGTGCGGGGGAGGGTTGATGGCGGTGCATGTGAGGGTTTATCTCTGTGCGGCCTGGGGCCAGACATCCCATGGACTGGTCGCTGGCCGCACACTGGCGTTTTGGGGACCGCTGGCATACAGGGCTATAACGCTATCTATCTTTTACCCTGTCAATGAATGGCCTTTTCTGTAGTGTGTTATCATTGAGCTAACAAGAGCATTCTTCAGGCAAAGTTATTGGGTTGTTTTAAAAGTTGTAATTCTCTTTATGTTTTATGTTTAGTTTGACAGTAAACCTCAACTGGGAATGGCAACAAACATCTTGAAGTCTTTTTTAGAAAAACAGTTTGATATCCGCTTATTGTGAGTGCAGTTGCATCGAGACAGAATGACAGCTTGTATCGCAAACGTTGGGTCACTTGTATCAAACAACGCCACTGTACTTACCTTGACTTGACCATCCGTGACCTAATGTGCTTATATGCGATTTTTCGGGTACTCGGTACAACAAAACACTTGTTGTCAACCTCCATTGCGGTCCGTCTGCAACCTCAAAGCAACCTCCTCAACGTTTGCCTCCACATCGCTGCAATTTGTACACGTGAACCCGATTCTGAAGCAAAGTCATCATCTGGAGGCCCTGGGCATCTCACCTCTCCACCATAAAAGACTTTTGTAATTACAGTCTGAGATACGAATCATCATCATTTAGTTATTTTCGTATGCAGGCGCTGTCGTCATGAGAGCGAGAGAGAAATCGAGAGAGCGTCTGTGGCCTTTTCAACTGCGACGCTCGTCATTAGCAGTTTGTGTGCAATGATCTTGACGAGCAGCTTTGTCTGCCGGTTGAGACAGACTTTTGCGTAATTACCTCATCAATCTCTACCACACTCCTGTCCCAGAGGATCGGCACGTAGCATCCACGGGGACGGTCAGAGGATGGAGAAGATGTCAATAATCGTCCTGAAAGCCTTCCTGCACTCCCCCCGTCGGCACTGACATGCCATATATATCTCTTAGGAGGGCTCATAGATAATGAGTGCCAGACTTGTGCCATATCAGCTGGAGACGTTGTGTTTGTCCGGAGGGGAAGAGCGGAATTATTCACGTCAGATGTCGTCATGGGGATTTGTTGTCGGACTTGAACCCTTATGTGCTATTTGGGTCAAATTTGACCCATTTTGAAATTTGACAGCAACAAAAATAGAAGAAAGGACATCTTTCATACTGACATTTGATGACGTTTCCTCAGGTGAACGAGAGGTGCCGAACAAAAATGACACTTTCCGTTTACCCTCAAACATGAATTCAGGATTATTAATCCATTTCTTCACGCAAGCATGGCTATTCATACATTTAAAAAAAACATCTGTACAAACTACAGATGTACCAATTTGGAACTATAGCCGAGTTCATAATGGGGGAGGAAGCGAGCACATATGGGTGTTACCTCCCAAAAGCAGAAAACAACCTTGATATATTCTGCAAGCACAAGCTGCAAGACTAGCCAGAATGTAAACATTATAATCAGCGACAGTATCAGCAGGTGGATCAGGAAGAGTGTTAATAAGCCCGAGGGCAGGAGCAGACGGTGATAAAGATGAGCCTTGTGTTGCACATTTCCTTCGACATCTTTCTTAACTCTGTTTCAGGCCAAATATTACGGACGTGAAATGGCTACATGTTATACCTTCTTTGCTGGCAGAAATTAATCATTTGCACTTATACATTACACAGTACTTTTCATTTCGTTCACACAGTTTACCTATTTTGTAGACACAATATGATATTTTGTGCAAACACTATACTGATTTTAAGGGCACAAATTAGGATTTTCTCTGCACAAATGTATATAGTTTGTGCACCTACAGTATTTCTTTGGAGATAACTAGTATTTTGTGCATACATGTTCCCTACTTGCTGGGCACACATTTTTTTTTTTTGTGCACATTACTGGATACATTTTTCATAGGTGCAAATTAAGATTTCGTACCAATGTTTTATCTATTTTGTGGGCACAAATTAATATTTTATGTGCATGATATACTATACAGTTTAGTATTTTGTTGGCACACATTTGTTTTTGGTGTACACATTTGACCTGTTTCCTAGGCACAAAGCAAGTTGTGTCAGTGCTTCTACTTTTACCATTTTTTGTTTGTTTGTTTGACATCTAAATATACTTCTACTGAAGTACTTTTGCCCTTTCTGCCCCGTTTTTAAAAAATGGGTCTGGAGGTTTTGTGTTTTTTGTCCATAAAAATCCCTGCAAATAACTTTTGTTGTCAGCACTTGGAATTTACAGAATGTACAGCAGTTCTTGTTACCACCCAAAAATAGCTTCAGGAAGACTGGTGGGATTGATGATGATCACTCATGTTTGTGTGTCCAGTGCACGTGTCCACCGAGCAGTCTGTGTGTGTGTTGCCAAGTTCTTCCTTTCTGTATGGCGAGCTGCTGCCAGGACAGCGGCACATTAATCACTTTTATTGGCTGCCTGTGTGTTGGGCTCCAACATCAGATGTGCGCCCGTGGGAGAACGGGACAGGCTCAGGGTGATTTTGTCTTGGGAGACGAATGACTCGTCTGGAGGTCAACTGAGGTGTATAGCAGGTGCAGCGGTAAACGAAACAGATTTTTGTTTTTTTTTTTGTTTTTGTTTTTTTAGCAGATTTGTCCGACTGCCAGATATCCAACAGCACTATAAACAGTTTGTTTTAGCGCCTTACCTCAGTGGTCTTGTAATGATGCAGCGCTGTTGTTTCATTGCCCCGTTTCAGGTCAAGGTCAATTGTGATGACAGATCATTGATCATCCAAACGCTCCATCTTTGCAACGGCAATAGAAAGACTTTCACAGTGCCTCATTAATATTTCATTCAATTCCCATCGATCTGGCAGAATCAAAAGGCCTTGTTAAATGAGTTGCCTGCATCACTGGGAGCCTGAACAGCATAAAAGTTTTTGTTTGTTGATGCCTGTGCTCTCGATCTGGGACTCATGACAAGAACAAAATGCTGCGATTACAACAAAGCTCAATTTTGATTGATTGATTAGTTTTGATTTGTTCAAATGATTACTAAGTCAGGCAGACTGGACTTTGAGGAGGGAAAAGCTTTTTTCACGGAAGTTATGAGAGGTTTTTGACACCCCATACGCTCCGTTTGCAACTTGTTCATGTTCACTTTTTTATTTGTATTTTTTTTTCTATCTAAACCTTTATTTCTCCAGGTTAAGGACATTGAGAACACATTCTCATTTCCAATGCCAGCCTGGAAGCAAAAAGCACAGTCAAACAAAGCAGAATACAGTGGAGCGAACTCTCTACGTATTTGTGCTTCGGCATTTGAGAATTCACTCATCATTCAAAGATTATTTCGGAATCTGTTCCCCGTTTCTCACAGAAACCACCATGGTTTAGCTTTTTTTTTTTTCTTCAACCCAAGCCCCTGCTTATTTATTTATTTATTTATTTATGTTTACCCGATCTCTTGCTTTTTCACTTTTTTTTCATGACAATTGTAATGAGTTCCAATTATTGGCAGATTCTCAATATTTGTGGTCATTATGGGTCACTGTAGTTACATATTACATTACGTCACAGCACAGGGTGAATAAAAGGTTCAAAATAGATTTAAAAACAGGTGCAACAATTATGTACAGCATCTCTGACGAGGATGAAATACTGATGAATGAGATGAGTTTTGTTATTCGTTGGATGGTATTCCAGGTAATCAGAAAATCAGAAAGAAATTGACCGAAAATAGTGCAGACTTTGAGAATGAAGCGGTGCATAAAACTCCATGAACAGAGAGTTCAGGTGATGGTATGCACGGTGAGCAAAGAGCAAAAATAGGTTGCGGTTTTGTCACTGAGTGGTTGTAGCTCAACACGGACCAGTGAATTTGTCTGCGTGAGTGAAAAGAGGAGCAATTATAAATCAGGGAGGACATGCAGTTCACAATGCTGCCTATTAAAGGGAGCACTTGTGACGCAGCAGATGGCGGCACTCTCTATAGTATCAAGCTGTGGAGGAGAGTTTGTGAAGCTGCATCTTTGCCTGCAAAGGTTGTTACTATCATGGCTTTAACAAGAAGCAATTTACCAGAATGCGTTGATGAGGATTTATTTCCATGGCGAGATTGATTTCAACGGCGAGAGCCTAAACTGAAATGTAGAAGAAGAGAGTTGATGTGTGTTTCAAATGTAAGCCAAGTGTCAAGCCACTCAGACCTTTGTTGCTGACAAACATGGTCTTGGCACTATTTACAGCTCAATTGCTATTTGCCTTAAACACTGAGGTCAGTGGCCCTGCGATAATTTATGACCCGCAGATAAAAGCACACTGCCTTGATTAATTGGCACATTATCCGCGCAAGAGCCTCATTACTTTGATGTTCCACTTCATATTTCCTGTCGTCTTCCTTTCCCAGGTACAACCAGACCGCCTCGAGCGGGAGAGATCCCCGGGACAGACTATAACTTTGTCTCCATTGAGGAGTTTTTTTCTTTGGAGGAGTCGGGAGCGCTGCTGGAGAGCGGCAAATTTAAAGGTAGGCCGCAACCACACAGGCACAAGTCATGCCTCTAATCGCTTCACGTCAGCACTCCACAACGCAAACATTTGATTAATTTACAGCGGGACGGGCATCACAGAGGCAACGTGGTGAACTCGTTTGCACCTCTGTCTATGAATTCTGAGGTTTGGGGTTCAAATCTCGACTGCGGTCTTCCTGTGTGGGGTTTTCAAGTCCTTCCATTCCCACCACAAAAATGGTATTATCCTATTACAAATCAAATGAGCACAATTCTAACAATATTATGGATGAGTGTTTTCATTTACCCATGCATAACCTCCAGATCACAGTGGCTTTATATACTGTGGTTTCATTTTATAAAACAACTTGTTAAGATCCAGTAATGAGTGCTGTTCTGATCAGGGTTTTTTTAGCTGCCGATTTCAATCATCCATGAGTGAGATAGGCCAATCGCGATTTCAACCACGTGGATTAACTGTACATTTTTCAATTTTCGAGCTGCTCACTAACGCTTATTTTAATAATTGATTCATCTGTCAATTATTTTCCGATGGATGAATCAGATTAAAATGGAACATTCTGTCTAGATTTCCATCCATTTATTTTTCAAAAATAATTTCAAATTCACAGAAAATGCACACAGCATCAGTTATGATTCAGGTACTGGTTTGGTCTGTAACGTGCAGCGTTAAGGAAGTTCAGCTTGTCTTCGTTTAAATTAGTATAGCCTACAAAAGACTAATGATAGACGGGAAAAATATTGTTGAGCTCAGGCTGACAAATAAAAACAGACCATCTCCAAACAATGTACGAATGCCAAAATACTAATCAGTGGCAGTCCCTCTTATTTAAATGAGGTGAGTAATTTTATGACTGTCCTGACAGATATGAAAAAATAACCAATCATTTGTCCGATTGTTTTGATACAATAAGAAAGCCATTGCATTAGTGTCCATTCGTAGCCGAATCCACAAACTCCCTGCAAGTTTCCATCTTCGGTTTGGCTAACCATGCTGCATTGGATTAAAACGGTCGCGTCTATTAGCATCCATAATTTATGAGGTTTCAATGAGAGCAATAAACGAAGTGCACCTTATCCGCCTCACATTTCAAACTGACAGAAACTTGGCTTGAGCTAAGCAGTCGAGGCGAGAGGCTTTGTCCCATTTCATAGCAGTTTGCTTGTGGAGGCTCTCAGTCGTACAGGAAGTTCGCTGACGAAGCTTCTGTGAGAGAAGCGAAACGTCCTTTTTTGGTTTTTTTGTTTTTTGTTTTTTTGTTTTTTACCCACAGGTACAGATGACGACTGACAGAACCCTTTCTACGATTTCATAGCAGTGTTAAAATATTGTAATACTGTGCTCAGTGTTAAAATATTGCATTAAATGGTGACTTTTTCTTCAGAACCTGAAAGAATTTGCTAAAACTCACTGTACTGGACATAATTCAGTCTCAGGGCAGTCACACTTTGGTGAATCCTTGACTTACAAAGGACCCACCTTCAGAGTATTTCAAGATCTAGGCTGTCGATCTGCGTTTTTTTTTTCTTCTTTTTAGTTTCAGCAAAAATTTGCATCATGAATGCTAGATAGCGACAGACAACTTAATATATAACAAGCGGCAGGTGGGCAGAGAGAGAATAATTCTTCAAAAACGAGTGGTCGCTTTAAGCCACTCCCATTTACTGTCAAAGTAAACATGAAACCAAGAGAATTCCACATGGTGTATTTAACCGAACACCATACAGCTTATGTCTTACCAAACTGTACTAACTTAACACTAATTCAAAATGCTGTTGACGGTCTATGGATACTAGCAACGGTGTCGTGGTGTTAAAGGCCATTAAACAATGGATATTTCAACAAGTCATGTGACTCGAGTTCTCCTTATCTGGTTCGTAGCTTCAGAAAGTGTATCAGTGTTGATGTTTATTTTCAGTGTTTGCGGGTGACTGATTGCTTTTTCGCTTTGTTTGTCGAAGGGAATTACTACGGCACGCCTCGCCCCGTTCACATCAGCGCCGAGTCCCCCCCTATTACCTATCAGGAACACCGCAGCCTGCTCAGGAACTTCCGCACGCGCAGCAAGTCACTCAGCAACCTGGAAAAGGCTGCGGCCCAAGCCGAGCATGGTGATGAAGACCTGGGCCTCCCGGGCAAGTATCGCCTCGCAACTCTGCAGTATGTGTGTGCAAAGCTGTAGTGGGAAGCCTAACCTACATTTACAACCTCAGTAATAGAGGGGTGCCTTGACATACGAATGATCCCGCGTATGACTTTTTGTGTTAGCAACGGCACTGTCTTTTTTAAAGATCAGATATTTTTAAATGACTTTAGAAGGCTAGCTAACTGGTCCACAACATCATCAGCATTTTACCATCATCTGATTGGTTGGTTGGACTAGTTGCAAACTGCACACACATTCACACATTTAATAGTTAGCCTTCACACATGTATCACCTGCGCAGCACAACATGTCGCCGTACTTCCGGTGTGCGTTTGAAATGACTCAATCGGTAGTGTGATTAGCATGCTGTAAACTCTCAGTGGGGTTGTGGCTTCATCGATTGCTGGACTGGCTCCGTAGCAAGGTCAGGCTGCCCTTAGGGCAAGTAAGCGCGGCGCTAACCAGATAAGTCCTGCACTTCCATAAAGAAGGCTGAGGGAAATGTATTGGTGGTTCTTCGTTTTTTATGTTTATTGTACATTTGACGGCTTATAGGTTGAGCCCTTCAAATCACTTAGGCGGTCATGAAGGCAGGGAGAGATTTGCGAGATGGGGATGATTACTTGTTTACTCTTTGAACCCCCCCACCCACCCCAAGTGTTTTCATTACTTTTCTCAGCTTTTCTCAAAGATGCTTGCTGTGTTTGTGTCACAATCATTTGCGATAGACAGTTCGAGAAAATGACAAGTTTCCGAGCATCTCAATGAAGATTTGTTTTGTTGATTTATGAAGGCATCAACTGATCATTTTGTAGTGGTCACTTCATTTTTTCCCCCCAGAGGTGTATTTGCAAGAGCCTTGATGTAGAGGCTGTGCATCAGTGGATGCTAGTACATAATCCTGTGCCACCCACTGGTCAGCCGCTGTTATTAAAATAAATAAATAAATAATACAAATTAACTATGAAAAATGCTCTTCAACCCAAATAGATAAAATGCTGGAAGTACATGTATTTCTAATAACAGAATTTAATGGATTTAATTTAGAGCTTATGTGTCCAACTCATGGCCCAGCATAACATATTAAGTGTGCCTACTTTCTTGCCAAATGGACATTCTGTCCAAAATTATTCCTATTAGTTTTTTTTGAAAGATCTTGCAAGCATATTTTTCCCTCACCAAAATCCCTTCTGAACATAAATGGAATAATAGTATTTATCTTTGGTTGTCACTATTTCCGTGACTTCTGATTTGAAATTGATCCTATTATTAAAAATATACACACAAAATAGACGGGGTTGACGAATAGCATCAATGGTCACAGTGTTTCAACACAAGCAAAAACACAAACAGCGCAACAACACATGTAGCCTGGTAAAATACAATACTGACAGGTATATTTCCTCTGCAAAAAAACCCCAAAACTGACTTATCACAGGTAACAAGTCACTTAGAGTAGTTGTGAAAGTCTTCCTGGTTTGTGTCTGGATCACTGTATTATACTGGCCCCCAGTGGCCAAAGCACTCACACTCAAGCACAAATTATTCAGTTCTTTATATTCTGTTTAATCATATTTTAATATGTGTATTTAGTCAAAACTATAGTTTTAGTTTCCTGATTAAAATATGCAAAACAAACATTTTGAGGAGGCTGGAGCCGGTTAGTGACATCCCCACTTATTTCAGTGAGTAAAATTGATTTGACATGTAAGTCTTTTGAGTTAAGAGCATAATCACAGAGCAAATACAACTCATATCTTAAGGCATCACAGAATTTGGAAATGTGACCAGTTACAGTATAGAACTCCTCGGTCGTTTCCATACATATTTTTATTCTGAATAGCGCTGAGCAATTTGTGCCAGTGTATGGGAGGAAGAAAATCGCTTTTGGATGTCTGTCTGTCCACCGTTGTGACCGCGATGCCTCAATGAGTTAATCTGGGCGTCGTCCAAGAAGAAAGGAGTCATCTCCTCTGGTTTATGCTGAGTCATATTTTGGAATCAGAGTAACACTGTAAGGATGGCTACTCCAGTGCCGACCTGTGACCAACATCACTCAGATTCACCTTGGAGCTCATGGCTGGAGGACGTCATCAAGGACAATTAAGCGGAATAAAAATTGATATTTTCCCGTGTGTGGAATGCATGCACAGTCATTCACGCTGCCTCCCGAGAGGGAGGAGGAAATTGACAGAAATGCCGACCTCAGGTCTTTTACCCCTCTACAGAAATGCCAGCATCTGGGCATTGCTCTCCTTTGTAGCATGGGCTGCATATGGTTCATGAAAGGGGACCTTTCCCTTCTTCATTATTTTGAACATCTTCCTTCTTACAGGAGGGCATCGCTCACCGCTGGGGCGCCGGGCATCGAGCGGCGGCTTTGCTGGCGTCCTAGAAAACGGCTTCATGGGCAACAGGGCCGTAGACAGAGGGAGAGGCATGATCGCGGATGACTGGGAGCAGGCCTTCAGCGACCCGGGAGAGTGTCACTACATAGAGTCAGTACTCTCATGGACTCTTGTCTGCAAAAAATGAAAAAGACTTCATAGTAAGCAGCAGTTTTAGTGGATAGTGAACAAATGTTCAAAATAGAGGCTTCACGCTTTTTAATGCGATTTCCACTTCAACAAGGCATTACAGCATTACGATATGGATTTCTGACAACCACCTCACTTCGCTTTAAATAAGTCTGCGTAGCTTAATGCTAACAAATAATGCACAACACCATAGAGAGACTCACAAACAGCATCTTTGTGGCAGTGTTATAACCTTTTAACAAGGTTATAATTTGGGATTTTTCGTGATTGTTCATTTTTATTCTGTTTTAGCTTTTGTTTATTTTTAGAGCATGTTTTATGATTAGTTTTAGTCTAGTTTTTATTAGGAGTATTTGTTGATTGCAAGATCAAATCAGGGCATTAAATATTGTTTAGTACAATTCTCAAACAATTGTTTGACCTGACAAAAGACATCCATTTGAGATGAACCTCGAAAGCTCATGTCTGATTTTAATTGCAAATACATTATCGTTACAATTATTGTTACTTTTAGTTTGTTTTATAAATGTGTGATGTAGTTTCAGTTACTTTCCATGTTTTAAAAAGCATTTTCCTTTTTATTTTACTTTCTTAATGAAATTGCTTTTTAAAATTTTAGTTTTAGTGATGTAATTATTTTTCATTCACTGCAATTATATTTCCCTTTTAAGGGACTGATAACAAACAGTAGAGCAACATGTAGACAGGTAATACAATACTTAAGCATCCATTCTTTATCCTCTGTGAAGAACAACATTACTACAGTACTTAGAAGCTCAGATCCGCTTCTGTCTGTCTGTATTGTACTGCCGTTCGGTGGCCAAGGCATGCACACAAGAAGGAGCAGCAGAATGGCCACTGAATTAAAGCAAAAATGTAGCAACTACGGTACGTAATAGCTTTACATTATATTGACTTGTCATTACGGTATCATTTTGTAACATGATAAAGTGACATACAAACTTTTTTGTTGGTTTTTGGGGGAAGGCTGGAACAGATTAATGGTATTTCTATTCATTTCAATATGGAAAAATGATTTGGGATACCCAACATATGACCGTTTGAAGTTATGAATTCAGCTCGTATCTCAAGCCACCGCTTTATGAATATTGCCAGACAGAGCAGTTATTCACAGAAAGTGAAATATGGTCAAAACCCTTCAAACCGTCTATTTACATATTTATTTATTTAGTTTTGGTCTCTTAACTTTTTCCAGTGTTTTCTTTATACTGACCCTGAACTCCAATGAAGCATCTCGGACGTAGAGTCAAAAGCTCCTTAATGTACAGTCTTCCAGGTGCATGTGTGTCGATGTGCTCCTTTTCATTTAGTTTCCATTTTGCCTCCAAAAGCCACAAGAGGACCAGCTGGCAGAGTCCTCGAGCACCGAGCAGGGAGTCGCTCTACAAAAACAAATGTGAGCCTCTTTGTGTCTTTCTTTCATTCTTTCCTTGCCACTTGTGCATGTTATTATCAGGACAGCGGTGGCACGTTTCACTGCAGAGCAGCCTGTGTTTGTCAAGTACGGAAATAACAGCCACAGCCAGCTGGTTGAAGTCAAATGAGATGGAATGAGCTTTTGGCTGAAACGGGACGGCTGACTGATTAAGGACGAAAGCTCTGCGTCCATGGCACGGCGCCAGGCTCTTCAACCAAGGCTGGCGGCACGGTCGACGCATTATTTCATGACATTCATCAGGTGACTCGTTGCATAAAATGAGGGAACATTTTTGGTGAATTTACATTTAAGAATTTTGTAAACACAGTAAACCCGCCTTTACCCACGATCTTACCAGGGCTGAAGTGCAGGGGCCTGTGGTAGTCAATAGCCTATCAGAATTTTAAAAAATATAATAAAAAAAAAAAATCCCAATTTCTTGATTTTGCTGTCAATCACTTTACATTCTTGGCATGAGTTGACCATCCCACAGGCGATTCTGTCCCGCACCGTGGCCGTAATTATAGTATCTTAAAAGTCTTAAGTTTCATATTACCATATCTTCCGCGCTGTAAGGCACACCTGAAAGCATTCAATTTTCTCAAAAGCCGATAGTGCGCCTTATAATCCGATGCACCTGATATATGGTGTGTTACAGTCTCTTCATATTCCCCATTGCATTGTTCCCGTTAGTGTTCCTATGCCATCAAGTGGTGATTATTAGCAGGAACCAATTGTAACGTAAAAGGGTTCTGCCTGACACTAATTAACTTGTGCATTTGCCAACGCACACTCAAACAGACAACTGCTGAGTGAGCTCAGCTTCGCCATTATGAAACAAAGATAATACCAAAAGCATAGTTAACTACTGACTAAACGGAGGAAAGAGACAGGCAAGACTTCTAAAGATATTTAGCCCCTTGTGGATGTGAGCCCACGAGCTTTGTGTGCCTCTTTGTCAATTTATCGTTATTAAATGTGTTTGTATCATTTTAAGTGTGCTTAAAGATCTTAATACCGTGTCAGAAATGCCATAAAAATAATTTTAAGTATTGAAACAGGGTATTTCTATGTTGCGTATTTCACTCATTGCGGGGTGGTCTGGAACGTAATCCCTGTGACGGGCGGGTGGTTGACTGTACAGTGAAATTTGATGGGGGGGGTATGGACCGAGTCTTGACGTACATAGTGAAAATCTGTCAGTACTTGATGCAACTCTGCCTTCTAAGGTTTATGTGCATATTTGCCTAGAGATGCCACAGCATGGCAGCAAAAGCACTTTTGTTTAAAATGGAACTCCTCACGTCAACACAGTTCCCTGGCACCAGTATGAAGTGAATTTGCTAATTTTGACGTACAAACATGCGGTGGTTCACTGTATTCGAAATTGGAAACTTTCCATGGGAGTGTAAGATAAGAATATATTTGATCCGTTTTTTTTTTCAACCTTCGGCACAATTATAGAACCCCCTTTTTATAAACTGCCGCCTCCAAAGAAAGTCGCGGCATTTTCCAAGAGAGGTGAGCATTGTCGCATAACACCGCTCAGACCTCCAACACAACAAATCTCCTCTGATGACCGTTTCTCAACACTTTTTTATTTTCCTCCTCGCTCTTCATTTGTTTTCTCTGTGACATGAAGCTAATTAAGTTCCACAATCACAAGCTTCAAACGGCCCCGCCAGTTGCAGATCCCCAGTCAGGAATCGATACGCGGAATACTGAAGCAAACAAAGAATTCTGGGGAATTGAATTACAGGGAACAGGTTTTCCAAAAGAGCTGGTTCCCATCCATAGGATGATTGTATGAATGGTTGATTTTCCTACAGGTATATATGCAGGATGTGATTGTCTGGCGACCAGTCCAATGAGTACGGTACCTCTCACTCAAAGTTAGGTGGAATTTGCTCAAGCCCAGCCACAATCCCAATCAGGATGAGTGATGTGGAAAATGGATGGATGCGCTCAGTTTATGGGCATGGCAACTATTTTGGGGAAATGCCATCTGGTGCACTTTGATTCTCTCTCTTCCCTCAGTCTTAAAACTTGTCAACAACCGTTGAGTTGCACAAACAACGGAAAGTGTCTTACTGTCTTTTGCACTAATGCTCAACCCATGGCCATCTTTTCTCTGCTGCACTTTTATGATTGACTTTCCTCTGAGGTAAACGTCCACGCTATCTCACGTTCTTTTTTTTTGGGTCACTTCTTTCCAGGGTTCACAGAGTACCCAGAGGAGCTTCAGGGTTTTCTTGTGCGCACACATTTGATCAAGGGCGCCAGGGGCTTTGGCTTCAACATTGTTGGAGGCAGCAAGCCAAGAGAGTTCCTTCAGGTCTATAGTGTGACTTCAATCGGACCCTCAGCCCTCAAGACAGGTGACTGTGCACTCAGCAGCCATGTAATTAGGTACACTGATGCAGAACTGCAGGGCATCGCACTGAAAGATGCCAGGTGAAAGTTGGCGTGATGCAGTGCAGCTCAACGCTACCACCAATTCAGGGCTACCTTGACTTGTTCCGTGCGGAGGTGGGATGTCATGAGCTGCAATTACTTCATTACATTTACCCAAGTAGCTGTTGGGATAAATTGTACTTGTTTTTGATTGTTAAAATCAAATATTTTTGTTTCGAAACATAACATTTTCTCTGTTGCATCATTGTGTTTTATTCCACTCACCGCTTGTATTTTTCTGTACAATATTTGCTTGTGTGATCTATTTTACAAAAGCAGCTTGCCCGAGAGACATGACTCTGTTCCACCAAATTAACTATTACTTTTACTTAAGCAATCATTTGGTGGACTGCTTTTACTTTAACAAATTACTTGAATCATTTTATTCGAAAGTATCAATTAATGTCTCCCACCTCTGGTTCTGTTACAATGCTAAATCACTCAACTCTCAAGCCAACTTTCCCCAGTGAAGAACAGAAATGCCAGGAATCCTTTCCAGTTTTTTGTAACATGTTTTAAAAACAAAATAGTGCAGTAGAATATTGAAGTACCGTACAGTATATGAAAAATGCCCATTAACAACATAATACAATCGAATGTAAATAAATGTTTTTTCCTTAATTTTTATATGATTTACAAAGTCAATTCTAATGAATTGGATCACTTCATCAGTTTTAGCATTCAATACCTTATCCTTAATATTTATCCACTCCTTCAGTATAATACTGACTGAATTGTAGAGGTACTATGCTCATCCTGCTAAGCCAAATCAACGACATGCACGCCTCACTCTCAACTGCGACTTCCATTTCCACTGAGATGTAAACAAAACAGACAAAAATGTCATCCGCACGTCAGCTCAGATCTCAAAGAAACTTGCAAGTCAGGTCACTCCTATTTTAAAGGCACCACTGTAAAAAAAAAAATTCCAAGATGAAATTGGAAACATTGCCATGACAACTTCACCACCAATGAACTTCTCACGGCCCACCAACGCCTCAAAGAAACATGCTATAAGAGCACATTGTGCACTGTAAGGACCTGAACTATTGTGAAGAACTCTAAACATATTCTCTCTTCCTTTCTCTGTCCAAAGTCTTTGGGATTATACTGAAAATTGCTGATCTCCTGCAGCAAGTGTACCGCGTATCGTAATCAGTCGTTAATCCCCCTGGTTGCCGCACTCTAATCTGCTGATCATATCGTGCGCATATGCAATTTGCGACTCACTGACGTATGTAAACACGCCGGCACAAAAATGTCTGAACAAGTTGGTATCAACACTGAAGGGAAGCAGAGTGCAGACAGCCTGCAGGGACTGATCAAGTCGATATCTGTTAATAGGCTGCGTTTGAGGATTAGTCGCTTGGATTGCCCACACCCGCACAAAATAGCGAAAGGCGGCGGCCTATTTAGTCGCGACGCTTTTCAACAGGAGCACTCCAGCTCAACGAGACATTTGCAAAGTCAATTTCCTTCTTGTGGAGTCAAGGGAAAAAGTGTAATAAGATTGGATATAAGTGTAGCATATTGGGACAATTAATTCACTGTCGCATCTGATCAGACTGCAGTGTGCTAAATAGGAATTTCCATGTTAAATTCAAACTAGGTTTGACATGTGGGCTTCTCACCCTCAGATTTATTAATGCTTTGCCCAGTTTAAACTTCCAAGATTCTTTCCACTGGTGGTTCACTGAACAGCTGACTCGTTTATTTCTTCCCTTTTCCACCCCCCTGCCTGCTTTAATCAAGTGACTTGAGGAGCCACACCTGTTGGTGTTTTGAGGCATGCTGGGAAATGTAGTGTCAGCCATTTTGGTGTGCGCCACAGGCTTCTGAAATGGAATCTAACGCCCTTCCACTACATGACCCGTGTGTGGCGACACTCTAGAGTGGTATTTAGATGTGGTATTGTAAGAAGATGTATTGCAAATTGGAGTATTCCATATGGTATTATTCTATTTTCTATGTTTAGATAAATTTGAATACTCCCCAATCCTGTGGATATATTTAAAATAAAATAAAGAGGGGCTAGGAATAGATAAGTTGCCACATCCTCTCACCCCTTTTCGAACATGTAAATGCATGTGTCAGTAGGCAGTTTATTTTCTATGATGTACTGATATTTCTATAACAATTTGTTCGGTTTTTATATATTTCCTGATGTTTTCAATTTAGTTATTTTTTTCACAAGTTCCAGTCTTATATATATATATATATATGTGTGTGTGTGTGTGTGTGTGTGTGTGTGTGTGTGTGTGTGTGTATGAAATGAGTTCAGTGTGGTCTTGAAGTCCCACACAAATACGCAACATTTTGTCATCATCTGGTCATTTTTCATGTGTCTTTGTGCTTTGGCAGCGGACATTCTGGTGTACATCAATGACGTTTGCATGTTGGGAGTGTCTCACAAAAAGGCGGTGGAGATGCTCAAGTCTGTCCCAGTGGGCCACGGTGTGGATATCGCCATCAGAAGAGGATACCCCATGCTATACAACCCTGACGGGTGTCCCAAAGAGCGCTTGCTGGACAGTGATGACCCCGTCCTACTTCCCACCACCTCGCAGCCTGAGCCTCTTCACCATCTACCTCGCCGGCCGACGCCTACTCCACAGATCCGTCACTTGAACGGCCTCCACGGCGATTACGTGGAGCCCGGCGTGATTCTCGATGCCAATGGAAACGCCACGTCCTTTGCCAGCAGACAGTCGTCACTGAGACGCTCCAGTTTGAGCAATGCCGCATCACCGCCCTTGACACGCCCGCCTCGTTCCCTGAGAACATTAGCCCAAGTGCAGTCGCTTGACCCGACGCTGGCCAGCCAGAGTGACAGTGAAGTTGTCTCTGCTATCGGCTCACACAGGTAAGATACACCCGATAACGGGATCCGGGATGCACACAGTGGCGGGCATAGGCATAGTGAAAATCTGTGAATAATCGACAACCCTCCCTAAAAGGGTTTTATACTTATGTATAGTTACGATGAGATGGTGGCAAAGCACCTAAAACAAAGATGATGAGCGCCAACTCCATGCATCTGGCATGTGTAAGATAAGATAAGATAAGAAAACCTTTATTAGTCTCGCAATGGAGAAATTCCCAATTCACAGCAGCAAAGTTATGATCGGAAGAAGTAAAACAACAAAATATAGGAGCTGCTGGAAAGGCAGCCACTCTGTAAGTGTAAGTAAGATAAGGATTGTGAAAAATACATGCTTGGTTGCTCACAGCCAACACTGAATTGAAGCAACAACTTCCAGCAGGGGTATCAAACTCAACTTTTGCGGGGGCTGCTGGCGAGAGAATCTGGATCTGTCTGGGCCGCATCAAGTGTTCCACTAATACGGGATTCAAGTACTCAAAAAAGGACAACTAATCCTAAAATTTTCTCAATCTTTATTAATAACAGTTCAGAAAACTAACGGTTCTTCACAACATGAACAAGATCGGTGAGCCGGTCCTCTCTCTCATCTCCATGTTACTTTGCAAACTCCTCAGCATGTCTAGTTGAGTCATGACGGCTAGTTTCGTGAGCACCCCAACTCTCTCTATTCATTTAAGACGTGACAGTGGGCCTCTCTACCCTAAAATTTTCTCAATCTTTATTAATAACAGTTCAGAAAACTAACGGTTCTTCACAACATGAACAAGATCGGTGAGCCGGTCCTCTCTCTCATCTCCATGTTACTTTGCAAACTCCTCAGCATGTCTAGTTGAGTCATGACGGCTAGTTTCGTGAGCACCCCAACTCTCTCTATTCATTTAAGACGTGACAGTGGGCCTCTCTACTCAACAAAGAAACCCCATCCATCTTGTTTTTTTTTTAAATTGGCTGTTATCGTCGCCAAGCCGCCTTTTTATGGCAAGTTTTGAAAAAGACATGACTGGGACTGAATGACAGGATTTCTTTTTTCCTTCCACTTGGTGTCACTTCAGAATTACATTTCGCCTAAAGCTATCATGAGCCTGGACTACTGTGCCCAGAAGTGACACACACACACACACACGCGCGCGCACACACACACACGCACACACACACACACACACTC